GCTCAGGAGGCCTTCGCTGCATTACAGGAGGCTCGCAGGACACTGCGAGATGCACGGGAGAAACAGTCCCAAATGCGGCGAAACAGAAGCTTCTTCCCTCCAAGTAAGGGCTATGGGAAGGGGTCGGGCAAACAGCGGAATTACGACCGACCCCCTATTCGCTGTTTCAAGTGTGGTGGGCCACATCGCCGTCAAGATTGCCCTGAACTCAATGAGAAGTCGACCAGCGAGCAGGTGAGCTTCGTTTTCAGTGCTACTGAGGACGCCTCCAAGAGTGGTGGAGGAGCTGCAGAGCCAGAGTGGCCAGGGGAGGCCGCCTTGGCAGCACATGTCGAGGTCTCAATGCTCGCCTTGCAGGATGCTATTCAGCAAGGAAAGGCCGTGATTGATGGCGGCGCCACAAGCAGCTTGGGTTCTGAGGAGGCAATGCAAGCCATAGCTGACTTGAATTGGAGAAGCAAGGGCAGTGATGGGATCGAGATTCTGTCACACGAGACTCCCTCCTTCAGGTTTGGCAACAATGGTCAGCAGTCATGCATGGCAACGGCCCTCCTCCAGACACCTGCCGGCGATAAGGAGGCCAAGATGCGCATTCATCTTCATGACATTCCAGGTCAACCTGTGCTTTTGAGTGTGAAGAGTTTGCGATCGCTTGGAGCAGTGATAGATTTTGAACGGGATGAAGCAATTTTCCGTCGGCTTGATCCATCAAAGGTGGTGCGGCTAGAGACTACCGATAGCGGCCACCAACTCTTTCCTCTGGTGGAGAATGTGCTTAATCATGCGAGTCATCGGGAGCGACCTTTTAGGACCTTGTTTGGCGATGGGGTTCGTGAGAAATGGAGCTCCACCGAGGAATAGGGACAACGCCTTCTGGTGGACCACAGCGCACCAGCTCACCAGAAGGATTGTGAAAAGATTTGTGCGCATGCAGAATTGTACAGTGAAGGTTCAGACAGTCTTAGGGCATGTAATCATGTGAATGATGAGTTGTGTGACAGCCCGACTAGGCCAGGTTCTGCACTCTCCGAGGATGATGTAGGAAACCTTGAGCCCTCGTTACGACGTCTTCGAAATCAGTGGGAAGCTAAGGCTCAACAACTCCTGAACCAACAGCCCTCGAGCCAATCCATGAAGAGTTTCTTACGTCAGGTCCCGTGGCATGCTTTCCAAACCAGTAAGAACACTAGTCGCAAGCCCAAAGACCCTGAAAACCCTGATCAAACCAAAGAACCCGCCTATGTCATCTTTGGAACCTACAGTCATGGAGGAGTTGTGGGCGTGACACGAGTTACCAAGGAATGTCCATGGATGTGTAGGGCGGTGATGCAGGTGATGAACTCCATGTGTGCTGGAGAAAGGATGACGTCTGTCTGTGTGTCTTGCAACATTCAATCACCCCCACACCGGGATAGCTACAACACCGAGCACTCCATGAACAATGTGGTTCCGTTGATGAGGCCGCGAGCTGGGGGTGAACTTTGGATTTCAGGAGGTCAGGTTTCAGGTCAAAAGGCTGTGGTAAAGTGTGGTGCAACTGAGCTAGAAGGAACTAAAACACCACTTTCCAAGGTGATTCGGTTCGATGCCAGGAAGTGGCACGCAACCATGCCATGGCAAGGGGATAGAGTTGTTATGATTGGGTATAGTCTTAAGGGCGCCCAGAAGTTAACCCAGGAAGCTAGGAGTCTCCTGAAACGTAGAGGTATGCGTCTCCCTTATAAACTTCCCCACCTGCAGAACAACCCTTCGCCTTGCCAAGCATTTCAAGAGGACTCAAGGTGTTACCACGCTCAAAGTTCCTTCGAGAGTCACCATGTCGGGCGCGAAGATGACCAAGGCCGAGCTTCAGAAGCGACTCCAGATGCTGGGAGAAACTCCCCCAGCTGGCTGGACCAAGGTGCAGCTCGCCTCGAGGCTCGCCGAGATCTCCGAGGAGAGCGAGACAACACTCTCCGAGCGCGATGCAGCGAAGATGGTGAACAAGTGCAAGACCAAGGTGGCGTTGCAGGAGCTCCTGACAGAACACCAGGTGTACTACACCAAGCACCAGAACTCCGATCAGCTGAAGAGTTCCATGCTCAAGTACCTCATGGAGAACAAGGTTCCTGCCTCGGAAAACAACTACATGGGGTTTGGGAAGCACTCCCAGTTGACGTACGGGGAGACTCTGGTGTTCATGCCAGCCTATGTGGAGTGGTGTGTGACCACAGCGGCCGAAGAGCCCGAATGCCACTGGAGACTTCGCCGCTTTGCCCGCTGGGTACAAGGCCTAGGGGAAGGAGAGAAGAAGGAGATCACGAAGCGGATCCAGATCGAGCATCATGGGAGCCCTCCCAAGAAGAGCTATGCAGCGACCTCAGCGAGCAGCTCCACAACCAACAACGAGAACAAGTGGGAGATGGTCAGCGACCTCGAGATGATTCCAGCGGAGGCCAACGACCAATCCTCGAAGATTCGCGAGCTGGAGAACGAGCTGAGACAGCTGCGGGACATGATTCAGGCGAAGACGGAGACCGACAAGGAACTGTCGAGTGCCCGCAAGAAGGCCAACCGCAACGACGAGCTCTAGAGATGCTTGAGCCCGATGACCTCGGACTCCGGGATGATGAGGCTGAGGAAGATCTACAGCCTGGTACCATGTGCCAGCTCCCTTTCAGGACGGCTAGGGCTATAGGAAAGGGTTATGAAGAGGCGTTGATGGGTTCATTTCAGGATTTGGGTCCGGGGAAGGTGATGTTGTTGGAAGTTGGAGGTTCAGAGAGGAGTTCTCTTGTGCTTGAGTGTGAAAAGGTGTTCGGAAAGGGATCGGC